CCACGTTTTTTTTTACGCTTGCACGTGTCCAGTTCTGAGTGTAAAGCTAACAGTAAACTTCAACAAAAGTATGTACGGTCTTCTTTTTATTAACTGGATTACTTAGAAATATACTCATCAATCAATAAATAGTAGAATACATATATCTTATTATACGTTTTGTTGTGTAGTATAGTTGGTATTTAAACGGTTGTGTCTTATTTTGACGAGCCCGTAGGGCGAGTCAAAATATAAATAACGAGTAAAAATACTCAGCGATACGACATACCAAAACGTCTAATATGTTATTTATAATCCAACACGCCAAATTTTTATTTCAGTGCGTGCGAACTTTGGAGATATTTGTTTACGGGGAGTGCGTGACAGAAGTATGCCTAGCGGAACGGAATTGGCGCTTTGTCGTTTTGCAGTTTCTATTTTCTTCAACAAATGCTGAAATATCATTGTCGTCTAACTGCTTTTCTTCGTTCGATTTATCTAATAAACTTGAATCAATATTTGCTAGCTATTCCGACTCTTCGTCGTCAGAAAAATAAATTAAATTGTAACTTCAATCCAATTCGTCGCTCGCGCGATTCGAGAAAACCTGTCTAACCGGTTCTCTGAAATACGAATACCGCGTGATATTTGTATTCGTCTTGGGCGTTATTTCTACTCTACGGAGTGTAGTTGGATGATAAACAAGAATATTACCGCTTATATTTAAGTAGAAAACACGAACCAAAAGCACCATGTGATGGTTTACTCTACTTGTTCCTTGAAACAGATTATGACGATGATTTTGATATCCGATCAGCCACTAAAAAGACTGTGAAAGGTATAAGGCCATTCTAATTTTCATTCATTTTGAAAGAGAGTATACTATTTTACAGAACATTAAATTAAGGAATGCTATGTACCACCAAAAGTATTGGCTGGTGGTACATAGCATTCTGTATGGTGCAATCTTTGACTGTATTTTTCCTTTTTCCGTCATACAAACAAGATCAGTATTCCGTATCATTAAGGTCATAATCACCAATCAAATCACAGATTCTAAGTCTGTCTTATGAATGAGTTAATGGGAGTATGTTGGTATTTCCTTCCTTTCTTACTGAACCTAACGGATCAGCGCAATCGAAAAACCTCTTATTGCGGTTAACTCTTAACCGCAAGTTTGCGGTTGTCAGAGAAAATTGCCACTTTAACTGACGAAGTAAAGAAAATTGCACAAAACTAGTAGCATGCATGTCAAAGGTGCTCGTAAATAAATGTCTTCTTAGGAAATGAGCAACACTTGGTTAAAACCTTCAAAGGATCAATTTCAGTGTGGCTGAATTAAAGTAAAATGATAGCCCAATTACGAACTACCCTTAGCCTCATTTTCAAAACGAGTCCTCGTGCTCAACCATTTTTGTGAGAATGAGTTTAATTTGCATGTGAATGGAAGCTTATTATCATATGAAAGGATTAGCACAAGGACTCGTTTTGAAAATGAGGCCAAGGGTAATTCGCAAATGGTCTATTGTATGAGTATGTTGTAGAATCTGAGGCTCGTCAGTGTATGTTGCATAGAGCTGTTCTTGCTCTCGTAACAAATTACCTTATATTGGTACGTAGTTATGCAGTAAATGGTTTGAACCCGGGGGTAACATGTGAAGGTGTAGTCTGATCGTCCGGGTGAGTGTAGTCCTGAGAAGGACTGTTGTCGGTGGCAGTGACTGACGTTTTGACAACCTGTGCGGAAGTCATCATCAGAGTCAAGTGAATGATTGTTGTAAGTAGAATGTTCTTATTCCAGTTCGTGTGAAATGATCGGTTGGTTTTGCCGTGATGTTATTGGCTGTAAGACTCAAGTGACGTAAGTCGGTCGTGATTGGTCTGTTTCGATCTGTCGGTAAAGTTAGGTCGTTCTTTTTCGGTCGTTTGTGATGTTTATGTCGTGAATGAGTCGTTTGTATGGAGCGGGTAGTTGTTGACATCTGTTTAGGGGAGTCTGTTCTAAGTTAGTAAACCAGCTTTCCAGAGTCAGTCGTTGAAAATAGTCAGTGCTGTAGGTTAGGCATTGCGCAGAGTCCCAGTCAATGTTGTGGTTGGTAAGTCGATGGTGTTCAGCAATGTGATTGCTGACATCACCTTTCCTCGTCGCCCGTCTGTGTTCAGTCAGTCTTGTTGTGAGGTTTCTGCCAGTCTCACCGATGTAGGAGGCTTGGCAGTCGGAACAATTGATCTTATAAATCGTTCCCTGTCTGTTCCTCGGTTCGTCTTTGTCTTTAACGTTGGTTAGTAACTGACGTAGTGTGGTGATGGGTTTGTGGGCGACGCGGATATTGAAGGGTAGTAAGATGCGCGAGATGTTTTCAGACATGCCTTTTATGTACGGTATGGTTGCTGTAGTCGTAGGGGTTGCGGTGTCGTTTGTTTCGGTAGTGGTAGTGGGTCGGTGAGTGTTTCGTCGGATGAAGTCGTTGTTGTAGTTGTTCTTCGTAAAAACACGGTGAAGGTATTTGTTCTCGTCGGATAAGCTGTCTGTCGAGTC